AGTTTGAGGCTGTAGTGAGCTATGGTCATACCACTGCACTCCAGCCTGAGTGACAGAGCATGACCCTGTCCCCCTCCAACCTTCCCTCAAAATGATCATCTAAGAGCCTTTCCACTGTGGGGTGACGGTTGGTTCCTCATTTGCTGCGTGATCATTGGTTACTTGGGTCCCAAGGGGAAGGTTCTAGAAGCCCCAGGTACCCTGAGGAGACTTCCAGAAGTTCTGTGGCAGTTGAAGCTCCTCGAGGGAAGGGAGCCATTTTCTTTCCTGGTTTGGGAAAGAGTTGCTCATCAGTTTGTGGGAGAAGCTGTTTGCCTTAAGCTGGTGAGCAGCCTTCAACCATGCTGGGGGTTTGGAAGCCAAGCTGGAGGGAGCAGGGAGGCCTTCAGAGGATGGAGGTGGGACCCAGGCCCTGGCAGACGGCAGACCCTCCACTTACCCTGGAAGTGGCTCTGCTTGCCACCGGGAGTGGTCATGGCTCTGGGCCCCCGGGGCTGGCTGCCCCCTCCAGCCTGGCCACTTCCAGGTCTCCAGACTCTTCCCTGCTCCTGGGAAAGCCTTGCCTCAGCCCCCTGGCTTCTCCTGGAAGCCTCCAGCCCCAGCTCCTCCTGTGGAGTCCTGAGGAACTGGGGCAGGGGCCATCTCCCAGAGAAGCCGTCCCTGCCCCTCCAGAAGCATGGTGTGGGACAACCCTATTGTTAACCGGGACCTCCTGGCCTTCACCCCGGGAAACGGCTGGGTGGGAGCCTGAGATGGGACTGCCTGATCGTGCGAGAGACTTGCGGGGTGTAGGGGCCCCTCAGCCCACACACATTATGGGTTGGGAGGCAGCCCACCCCATGCCGTTCTTAGAAGAAAAGATGATTTTGTGAAAGCCCCAAATTCACCAAATCAGTAAAACCAGAGGACGTTTCCCTCCAGTCCAGCGGCCTGACCAGCTTGGCAAGGCTTCCAATCAGGAACCTTCCAGGACTCGGGCTCCCCTGAGTTCCTGATCCTCGTAGGAAGTGAGGACGTGAGGCCTCCCCGGGTCTCGGAGATCCGGATGGAGATGAATGCAGCAGCGTGCTGTGAGCCCTGTGGGAACCTGGTGAATGAGTCATCTCCATAAATGCCTCGTGGTGCTCCTGCTACTTGCCTGGTGGTGTCCCCTTTTGCTTTCACAGATATGCCTGAATCGGGCAGCTTTACTCATGGACCACCATGTTTCTGCCACTTGCTGGCCAAATATTCCCCAAGTCCTCTCACAGAGATGTTTGGTGCCCTGAAGAACTCCCAGACCATTTGAATAGCATGCTGCCCACTACTGCTTCCCATCATGTAGTTGTTTTGCCGATATATAGTGGCCAGGGTGAAATACAAGCTCTTCCATGGTTTCAGTGTCTTTTGGGGAACTGTAGGCTGTTACAAACTCAAAAGCAATAGCTTGGGTCAAACCAGAAGGCAGAATTTGTGAGTGCTTCCAATGTCATCTGTCCACGCTGATGCTTTTCAGCAGCTGCTAGGTCTGGAGCAGGCCAGCCCCAGCCCACGGACCCCCAGAGCAGCCGAGTACCCCAGGGTTCCCCCAGAAATTCAGGAGCTCCATACCTCCCAGACTGATGAAAACACCACATCAGGCGACCCTTTGCATTCAACCCTGCCCTTGGAGAACTCGCCTCCAAGGCCCCCACCCCAGGCCTCTTGCCAGAGCCTGTCTTTATTTGAAACTTTGATATTTTGTTCGTCATGAATTTGTTTGCACTCATTTTGATTTTTAAAAATATTGACCCGCCTTCTCTCTTGATAACTGAGTGTTTGGGTGTGCCTTTAAATTCCGTGCCTACAGTGAGGACCTCACTTGCCTAACCTTTGGGACTTCAGGGTATTCTTTAAGGGGATCCCTTCCCTCCAACTCTCTAGTTAACCCTGCCCCTGAGCATCTGAGAAGCTTGTGAGGGGTCTGTCAGGAATCTGCAGCTTGAGTCCTTTAGGGGCTCATACTAGGGGCTGGAGGGAGAAGGGGGGTGCAGAGCAGGGTAAAAGTTAAGGTGTACCACAGCTGGGGCTAAGACGGAGCGCTGAGTCTCACTGCCTGCACGTGGGCTCTGCTTCCTTCTTGCGTTTTCCACATACTCGGGGGCTGCGACGTCTTTTATTGCTTTCCCGGGACATTTCAACCTGACCCTCCAGCCTCTCGTTTTGCCTTTTCCTATCCCATCCCCTTCACACTGTCTGGCAGTGATCATTTCCTTTTCTCTTTTTTTCTCCAGTGTTCATCTCTATCTTTCCCATCCTCTGAACTTTATGGTCACAGGAACGTAAGCACACACCACTTTTGGGCAGCCTCACTCCTGGGAGACCCCCCATGGTGGGGCCGGGGCAGGTACCAGCACCGGCTAAAGCACACAGACAGCACCCTTCCCCATCTCTCTCCACCCCAACCCATCCACAACTAAAAACTGCACATTGATGACCAACTGTTTTGTTCCTGCTCTGGTAGAACAGAGATTTCCTGTGGTCCCAGGGATGGGTGGGAAATTAGGGAGCCTGGGAGACAGTTCGCACCTGCTTCTTGCACTCTTAACAGATACCACTGTGTAAGGAAAGGCCAAGATGGCAATGACCCCGGACGTCAGACTAGAGTATCTGGAGGAAGTTGCCTCCGTCGTCCTAAAGTTCAAGCCGGACAAGTGGAGCAAGCTGATAGGCGCCGAGGAGAACGTGGCCCTGTTCACAGAGTTCTTTGAAAAGCCTGACGTCCGGGTGCTGGTGCTGACGCTCAATGCAGCCGGCATGATCGTACCCTGCCTGGGCTTCCCCGAGTCCCTCAAGTCCAAAGGGGTTTACTTTATCAAGACAAAGCCTGATAACATCAACAAGGACAACTACAAGGCCCGGCTCCTTTACGGTGACATCAGCCCCACGCCCGTGGACCAGCTGATCACAGTGGTGGAGGAGGTGAGCGCGTCCAGGCTGGCGTCGGAGGTCTCGAGCACGGCTGACTTCTTGGGAGTGGCCTTCAGTCCTGCTGCTCAACCTGTGGTCCCTGGGCCAGCAGCAGCCACAGAGCTGGGGAGGGATTGGAAATGCAGGTGCTTGGGCCCCGTCCACCCTGACCTGCTGAGACAGACCTACTTGCTTTTGGTTTTTTAATCTTTTTTTTTTTTTGAGACAGGGTCTCACTCTGCTGCCCAGGCTGGTGTGCAATGGTGGGAGCACAGCTTACTGCAGCCTCAACCTCCTAAGTTCAACCAGTCCTCCAGCCTCAGCCTCCCGGGCTGGGACCACAGGCATGCACCACCACGCCTGGCTAATTTTTGTAGTTTTTGGTAGCGATGAGGTCTCACCAAAAAATAGCCTGTTGCCCAAGATGGTCTCAGACTCCTGGGCTCAAGCGATCCTCCTGCCTCAGCCTCCCAAACTGTTGGGATTACAGGCGTGAGCCACCATGCCCAGCCACAGACCTGCTGTGTAACAAGACCTCCAGGTGGTGCTCATGCCCTTGAAATCTGAGAAGCCCCGTGCATCCCCTGTTCTTTCCGGACAGCACTGGGACTGCCGTGCTGTGCCGGGTGCGGTTGCCGCCCATGGCCTGGGAAGGCGTGGACTGAGTACCGGCAGATAGGTTTCCCCAGTTTTGAGACTTTGAGTTAAAAAAGGTGAAAAAGGCCAGGCGCGGTGGCTCAAGCCTGTAATCCCAGCACTTTGGGAGGCCGAGATGGGCAGATCACGAGGTCAGGAGATCGAGACCATCCTGGCTAACACGGTGAAACCCTGTCCCTACTAAAAAATACAAAAAACTACCCGGGCAAGGTGGCGGGTGCCTGTAGTCCCAGCTACTCGGGAGGCTGAGGCAGGAGAATGGCGTAAACCCGGGAGGCGGAGCTTGCAGTGAGCTGAGATCCGGCCACTGCACCCCAGCCTGGGCGACAGAGCGAGACTCTGTCTCAAAAAAAAAAAAAAGTGAAAAAATGGAGTGTCACGTTATGTGTCCCTCTGCTGTCACCCTTGGCAGGTACTGTGTCGGTCGGGGGAGGGACACAGTTTGGGGAGTCAGACCTCCAGAATGGGAGTATCTTAGCCTTCCTGGTCATCACCCTTCTCGTCTGTAGCACAGGGGCCTGCGTGCTCGGCTTGTGCACCCGACACTCGCACAGTTCTGGAGGCTGGAGGTTGAAGATGAAGGTGTCGGCTGGGTTGGTTTTCCCCAAGGCCTCTCTCGTTGACTTGCAGATGGCCATCTTCTCCCTGTGTCCTCACTTGGTCGACCTTCTGTGCGTGTCTAATCTCCCCTCCTCGTAAGGACACCCGTCAGACTAGGGCCCACCCTAGTAACCTCATTTTAACTACTCACCTCTTTATTTATTTATTTATTTATTTTTTGAGATGGAGTTTTTGCTCTGTTGCCCAGCCTGGAGTGCAATGGCGCGATCTTGGCTCGCTGCGAGCTCCGCCTCCCGGATTCAAATGATTCTCCTGCCTCAGCCTCCCAAGTAGCTGGGATTACAGGCATGTGTCACCACGCCCGGCTACTTCTTGTATTTTTAGTAGAGACGAGGTTTCCCCATGCTGGCCAGGCTGGTCTCAAACTCTTGACCTCAGGTAATCCACCCGCCTCGGCCTCCCAAAGCGCTAGGATTACAGGCATGAGCCACTGCCCCCAGCCCTTACTCACCTCTTTAAAGAACCTGTCTCCAAATAGTCACATTTTGAGGTGCTGGGAGTCAGGGCTTCAGCAGATGGATTTGGGGGATACAGTTTGACCCACCACAATCCTCCTAGGCCTTTAGCAAAGAGTGTGTGCTAGGGGTGCAAGAACTTGGGAATGGCTTTGGCACCACCAGGACAGGGCAGCTGGTATAAACTCCATGACCGGTCCCACCTCCTCCTGGAAGAAGGACCCAGTTTTCCCAGGACTCCAGACACCGGGTCTTTGGAATTCCCCTGGGGACCCAGCTCTGCAGTTGCCGAGCTGGTGAAGGCACAGGAGGCGGAACCACAGAAGTGTTTCCTTTTAGGTCCTCTATTCTCTGTTAAACCAACGCGAGAACATGGCTGGATGGCCCCAGGTGGTCTCGGAAGACATCGTGAAGCAGGTCCACAGGCTGAAGAACGAAATGTTTGTGATGAGTGGCAAGATCAAAGGCAAAACCCTGCTGCCCATCCCGGAGCACCTGGGCAGCCTGGACGGCACGCTGCAGTCCATGGAGAGGTACGTGGGCCCAGCTGCTCCCGGCTGCCGCTGGGTGGGAAAGTGGCGTGGGCTTGACACTCCCACACCTGTTGTTTCCCTGCAGAGTGGCTTCACGTGTTAAATCCAGGGAAAAGCAGGGCAAGGTGGTGCATTAGGTGGTGCTGAGACTGAGGAAGATGGAACCAGGGCAGGGAGGGAGCAGGCTCTGCAGCCCCTGGGACTTTGGCACCTGCACCCGCCACCCCACCCGGGTCACACGTGTGTGCTGGTCCAGTCACCACCGGGCATGCAGAAGGTGTCCCACCTGTTAGCATGGCCAGGAAACAGGAGGCACAGCTTTAAGATGCGGGACAGGGTCAGTGAGTGGGAGTGGGAGGGACTCTCAGCAGGTACATGCAAGCCTGTGTAGGGGCTGCGGTGCCCCAGAGGACCTGGGAAGCCCAAGGGACTCCAAGGTGTCCCCTCGCATCTGCGTCGCCACAATTTGCAACCTCCCTGATATGTGAGACCTTCGTGACAATTTGTTCCATGCTTGCCTCACGTGGGCAAGTCCTCCACTGATCATTCACAAAGCCTCAAGCACCATGCCCGGTGGTGGCGCCAGAGGAGCCATCTTGAATAGGGTTTAAATAGGGTTTGCTTAATTATCTCCCTCTTCCTTGGAGGTGAACACCTCCAGGCACTGGCATCTCTGACCACACCCGTTGTTTCCCTGGGGTCTCTTCCTAGCTGGGTGTCTTGGGAACTTCTTTAGCCTCCCCGAGGTGGCTGGAGGCACCAGGGACACGAGACCAGACAGTGCTGCGGCTGGTGGTTTGGGATTGGTGGGCAGAAGGCTTCAGGGGAGAGCTTGGGGAGACCCATGTGTGTGTGTCGCCATGAGAGCAACGCCCCAACCTTCTATCGGGTAGGATCCCCTCTTCGCTGGACAACTCGCTCCTGCACGCCATCGAGACTATCATCATCGACTGGTCCCACCAGATCCGGGATGTGCTGAGCAAAGACTCAGCCCAGGCGCTGCTGGACGGGCTGCACCCCCTGCCCCAAGTGGAGTTTGAGTTCTGGGATGCCCGGCTGCTGAACCTCAAGTGCATCCATGAGCAGGTACGGCCTCCTCTGTCCTGTGAGGCTGCAGCATCGTCCCAGCTGGGTGACCTGGCTGAGCTCTCAGCCTCCCAGTGCCTACCTCCCAGGAGTCCTGAGGGCTCTGATGACCTGCGGAAATTCTGCAGCCCCAGCCAGCCACAAGGTCAGGTTGGCCTCACCTTAGGGTCTTCCAGGTCAATGAAAGGTGGATCTTTTCTCCCCTTCTCAGCTAAACAGACCCAAAGTGAACAAGATTGTTGAGATCCTAGAGAAAGCCAAAAGCTGCTACTGGCCAGCGCTGCAAAACGTTTACACCAATGTCATGGAAGGTGAGCCTGTGACCCCGCCATGACTTCTGCACGAAGCTGTCCGTGCCTCCCGGGAGGGCTGGGTCAGGCCTGTCGCCAACCCTAGGACACTGGCCTCTCTCTGCAAGCAGCTTTCTCAGCCCCCTCCATTTGAGAAAGGCCCCGTTTCCTGAGGGAGCAGGTCTCAGCACAGGGAGCCGCATCCGCGTCATTTCTGAGCAATTTCCGCTCCTTACCGGTGGGAGCTTGTTCTTGTTCTGTGCAGGGCTGAAGGAAGCCAACGACATTGTGCTCTATTTGAAGCCCCTGCGGATACTGCTGGAGGAGATGGAACAAGCCGACTTCACGATGGTGTGCTGGCAAGGCAGAGCTGACTTTGGTGGGGAGGGTCTTGTTTCTTCAACGCACGTGGGGCCGTGGGGTTCTTGGCTGTCATCAGATGTGTGGGCCTAGGGAGTTGCCTCTCCCCTCCTCCTTGGGGACCCTCTCCTGGATGCCCAGTGACAGCCATGGGAAGGGGAGGGCTGGGACGCTGGGATAAGACGCAGAGGCCGGTCCCCTCCAGCGTGCCTGGGCCCATCTCCCCCCAGCTCCCCACCTTCATCGCCAAGGTGCTGGACACCATCTGCTTCATCTGGGCCACCTCTGAGTACTATAACACACCTGTCAGGATCATCGTCATCCTGCAGGAGTTCTGCAACCAAATCATCGAGATGGTAACCCTCCCCTGGCCCCCCGGGTCCCCTTCCTCCCCTCCTGGCTGGGGCCCGTCCCCGGTTCACTGTTTTCCTGCTGCCCGTGTTCCCCAGCAGTTGGAGAGCAGGCCAAGATGTCGGCACAAGCCTTTTCAGGCCCCGAGCCGAGATGGAGCCCTCCTCGAGGCTGCCTAAGTTCTAGGGAGAGCACTGAGGGAGAAGAAAGGGAAGACAGGGACGGAGCAGGAGGTCTGCCCGGAGAGTCCCAGCACCCCGAGACCCATCCAGTGCTTTGTGGGTCTCTCTAACCCCACATCGAGCCACCCTCTGTCTCTCTTAGCAGAGACTTTCTTTCCTTCCTCCCATTCATAAGCACCCACTAGCCAGCCACGGTGTTTGAGCTGAAGGGCTGTATCTCTTGGGCCACCTCTGTATATTAAAACCGCGCTGTGACCCCATCTTCACGACCAGAAGGGCACTGGGGTCCCCTGTCCCTGGAGGGCCTGTCATCATCTGTGACCCCATCCATGATGCTGCAGCTTTGGCAAAGGAGGAGGGGCTGAGGAGGGGAAGGCAGCTCGGTCCCCTAAGAATGGCCCAGCAGTGGGCAGCTGGGAGGGGTTACTTCGGACATCCACACATCAGAACAGATCGCGGCTCCTGCAGGCGGCGTGCCTGGACATCACCCCAAATGGCTTGTCAGAGCTTTCGATGTCTGTCTTCTCTTTTGCCCAGACACGAACCTTCCTGAGCCCGGAAGAGGTGCTGAAGGGCCTGCAAGGCGAAATCGAGGAAGTCCTGAGCAGCATCTCCCTGGCCGTGAACGTGCTGAAGGAGTTCTACCAGACATACGACTTCTGCTGCACGAACATGAAGCTTTTCTTTAAGGTAGCCCTTCCGTACAGGGCGAGGGCCAAGGCGAGACACGAGCGAGTTCACATGGGCCCCGACATTTGAGAAAGTGGGGACATTTGAAGCAAACGCCGCCTCGTCTCTTTCTCTCCTCTAAGGACACAGAGCCCGTGCCTTGGGAGTTCCCTTCTTCTCTTGCCTTTTCCAGGATGGATTCCTTCTCCCACCGCATCCAGACCATTGAGGTAAAAACAGATACTGGGTGCATCTTGACCTCCACTTCCCAGACTGCTCCTACCCTAGGACACCCGCAGCATCCATCCCTACCCCCCTTGACAGTAATCCCCCAGGCAGAAAATAAGTCAGGCCCAAACATCTGTTATGGGGAAACCAAGGCTTTGCAGCAGTCTCCACCATGCCCAGAGCTATCGGCCAAGAGTAAAAATGACCCACTTTGGGCGCTTCTCCCCTTATCTCGTGCCTTCTGTCATGAGCAGGTTACTGATAAGTTTAAACCACTGCGTTCAGGACGCCTGGGGGCCGACAGCAGTCACTTAGTGGGACTCGATTATTACAAATGGAGACTTATGAAGGCCCCGGTGTAAGCACCATGTGGATACACAGAGTGACACACAGCAGATAAAACCTTAAAAATGGTGCATGGCCGAGCCCGGTGACTCACACCTGTAATCCCCTCTGGCGGGCTGAGGATGGAGGATCACTTGAACTCAGAACTTTGAGGCTGCCGTGAGCCATGATTGCGCCACTGCACTCCAGCCTCGGTGCCAAAGTGAGACCCTGTTTCAACAAAAAAGCTTCAAGGCGGTTTTCTCTGGGGGCTCTGGAGAGAAGAGATGAGAGGGATCAAGACAGGGTAGGGCAAGAAAGTTTTGCCTTTTGTATCTTCTGCATGGTGTAATTTTTCAAAACTTTGTGCACATATAACTGTATAACTCACATCCTTAAAAAAGGAGAAAATCATCCTGGAACCGTAAAGCATTGACTTTAGAGTGGACACCATTGTCGGCAGCTTGGGGGAGGCTCGTCCAGTTCTCATCTACACCTCCTGGGGGACAGGGGAGGGAGGCCCGCTCAGGAGTTCAGAATTGCAGTCCAAGTGCGGGCTCATGCCTGAAATCTCCCAGACTGAGAACGCGGAGGGTTACAGTCACATTTCTGGACAAGGAGCTGTGATTCCCACATGACAGATTCCTGAATCAGAAGGAAGATTCTGGGCAGGAGGGGACTTTGGAGGTGGAGGAAATGGCTTTGCTGTCCACCCCCTGAAAACAGGGCATGTCAGCCTCCTCGTCTGTATCCTCCGTGTTGGGTGGAAAAGCTAAGAGCTCCTGGCCCTCAGTGCCTGTGCTTCTCCTTGGGGTGGTGGTGGTGTGTGGCCTGATGCTTCTGGACCTGGGAGAATGGCACCCACCTCAGCACCGGTTTAGGGGAGTGATGTCAAGTTCACAGGAAGATTTCCAGTCTAAACTCTGCCTGCACTGTGCCTGGTACGTGCAGGGGCACAGAAAAGCATCCGTGGAGCCTTGGAGACCTCGTTTGGGAAACAAGAACCGCACACACAGAACCAGCTAACGGGATGGGCCTGCACGTGACTAAAGTAAATGCTAAGCCGTGCAGATGGGAGACCAGGCCTCTGGGAAGGAATGCATTGCTATGGGGCAAAATAGTCAGGGAGCACTTCAGGGAGAGGGGGCATGAGCTACACCTGTGAGGAAGCAGAATTTCTACATGTGTCCATCCAGGCATCCCAGCCACTTTCCTCTTGGATCACCTTCAGGACATGGCACTCTGCATAGGATGGTCTTCCAGGTAGCAGGGAATTTAAAGCTTAGCAAGAGCGTAGAAATCTTCACCATTCCAACCGCTTCCCACAGCAGAGAGAACGGAGGTCCCAGTGGAGTGTGATTTATTTAGAGATGCAGTTTGGCCAGTCTAGGGTCAGGACAGGATCCCAGACTTTACCTTCTCCAGCTCCTCCTCATTCACACCTCATAGACAATTCAGAGCCCTTCCTTCCATCCCCTCTTTCTGCAGGCAATGGGACATCTGCTTAAAGAACAGCACAGTCACAGAGGGTGTCCTCCCACCCCCACGGTGGTGTCTCCTGGGGACAATTCGCTCTCCAGCTCCTCCTGCCTGGGGTCAGAGCTAGCTTTGTAACTGGACCCGTGAGTTTGGTTGTGAAGATGAATTGACTGTGTTTTTCTCCTCCACTAGGAACTCTATAAAACAGCGATTGAGTTTCTGAAGCTGGAGAAAATCGAGCTTGGGGGCGTGCGTGGGAACCTCCTCGGGAACCTGGTGACCCAGATCTATGACGAGGTCTTTGAGCTGGTGAAGGTTTTTGCCGACTGCAAATATGATCCCTTGGACCCTGGAGACTCGGTAGGTCCTCCGGCAGGGTTGGATGAAGCAAACTCGGTGAGAACAGCAGCAGCCTCAGTACCAGCTTAGGGGAGTGATGGGAGGGCACACGGAGGAAGCAGGTGCCGGGCGATCCCAACACTTTGAAAACTGTAGAGCAGTCCCCGCAACAGTGAGCACATTGAGCTGCACCCCAGTCCCAAGTCCTCTCAGCAGGGGTGGGGGCTGGAGAGGGTGCCCTTGGCTGGCTTTGCACGCTGATTTCCATTTGCCTTTAGAATTTTGACCGTGATTATGCTGATTTTGAGATCAAAATCCAAGACCTGGATAGGAGGCTGGCCGCGATCTTTTGCCAAGGATTTGAGGACTGCAGCTCCATTGAGTCCTCTGCAAAGGTAAGCGTGCAGGGGGAACTCAGGCTGATCTGGAGCCTGGTGCCTTGGCACTGGATTCATGTCGAGAACGATCTTGGAGACCATTTCATCCTCTCCATGTAGAGCTGATGCCCAGGGAGGGAGGGCCCTTTCTCCTGTGCCTCAGAGTCAGTCAGTGAACACCCAGTGTAGCTCCTGATGGTTCTTACTGCCACATCTTAGAAGAAGAGGAGCACGTGAGCGTGAGATGACATTATTTTACTGATACTTCTTAACGCTCACTAAGAAAAAAGGGGACCGTTTATTCTTGATTCGGTTTTCCCACTACTCGAAAGGAGTGAAAGTTACAGAGGTAAAGTGGGTGTGAAAATAAAACTCATGCAGATTTTGGCCCACTGAGCTGAATTTATACAATGCCTTCATCCATGCAGGTCACTGTAACAAATTGCTGTAGACCGAGTGGCTTAAACAACACACATTTCACTTCTGTCAGTTCTGGAGGCTGGGAGGTCCAGCAGACTCAGTGTCTGATGAGGGTCTACTTCTGTTCCTAGATGGCCATCTTTTCATTTGGTCCTTACATGGCAGAAGGGACAAGGACGGTCTCTGGGGTCTCTTTATTTTTAGTTTTAAGGGGTTTTTTTTGTTTGGTTTTTTTTTGTTTTTTTTTTTTTGAGACGGAGTCTCGTGCTGTGTCACCCAGGCTGGAGTGCAGTGGCGCGATCTCGGCTCACTGCAAGCTCCGCCTCCCAGGTTCACGCCATTCTCCTGCCTCAGCCTCCGAGTAGCTGGGACTACAGGCGCCCACCACCACGCCCGGCTAGTTTTTTGTATTTTTAGTAGAGACGGGGTTTCACCATGTTAGCCAGGATGGTCTCGATCTCCTGACCTCGTGATCCACCCGCCTCGGCCTCCCAAAGTGCTGGGATTACAGGCTTGAGCCACCGCGCCCGGCTTTTGTTTGTTTTTTAAGATGGAATCTTGCTCTGTTACCCAGGCTAGTGTGCAGTGGTGCAATCCCAGCTCACTGCAACCTCCGCCTCCCGGGTTCAAGTGATTCTCCTGTCTCAGCCTCCCTAGTAGCTGCAATTATAGGCACATGCCACCACACCTGGCTAATTTTTGTGTTTTTACTAGAGAAGGGGTTTTGCCATGCTGGGCTGGTCTTGAACCTGTGACCTCAGGTGATCCACCCACCTTGGCCTCCCAAAGGGATGGGATTACAGGCGTGAGCTACCATGCCTGGCCTAGTTTTTATTTCTGTAGTGACAAGGTTTTGCTGTGTTGCCCAGGCCCATGAGTTCTGGGCTTGACTGCTTCCAGGACCCCTGATCTGAACCGCTGGGCCAGACCAGCTCCCATGACTGTGAAGGCAATTGGGTGGGCTTGGGCAACCTGGGCTGGTGGTCATCTTTCAGGAGATGTCAGGGCTGAGATTCCTGAGGACAAAGATCTCTCCCCCACAAATGTCAGGATGTTCCTTTGCCCTTTTGAACACTCTTGCAAAAAATGCAAATATATGGGAATTTGAAGCTCCGCAAATCAAGGATCAAGTAAGTCTTGGATCGAGTTGGTGTTCTAGGCAAAATATCAGTGAATGCAAATTAATATAGCACTGCCTTGCTGTGGTTGAAAAAATTATTCAATTATACTTGTTGAAGCAAGATGAGGCTGACTTGATTCGGACCTTATTCACGATTTATACCGTCGCAGTAGATACAGGCATAGGGAGAGCGATGGAGCTGCACTTTGAATACACTGCAGGTAAGTAGGAGTTTCCAGCAAAGGAGCAGGGTAGGGGTCAGTGGATGGAAAAATACTTAGAGGTGACATCAGGGGTTGGGGGATTCTGGCTAAACCAACTTCAAGATTCTAGCTGGAGGCAGGTTAGGATAATCAGACATCCCCTGGGGGATGGTAGAGGATGGAGACCCTGATGAGAATCTTTGGTCAAGCAAAGAATCTTTGTCAATGTTCCCTTCCTCAGAAGGCTCTTTCCCAGGTAGCTGCATCCCTGGTTTGCAGGGTCCTCACTTCCTTCCTTCTACTCCAATGCCCCCCAGGCTGGTGCCTTCAGCAGCAGCCTGCCTTCCCTTCTCAGCAACGGCCCTCCCTCATCTCATATTCAATTAGGTACTAATGTCTGTGTGTTCCTTGTCGTCCCAACTAGAAGGTAACCTCCCTGAGGGCAGGCACTGGATTTGAGTTCCCTTAGAACTGAGCCTAGCCCAGGGCAGGCGCTTTTGAGTATTTCCTGCAGTGCAGAACTGGTTCTTGCCAAGGGAGGCTGGTTGTTCTGGATGTTGTTGGAAGGTAGTTTCACTCTAGCGTAAGCCTTCCACATGGAGCCCCTGAAGGATAACACAAAAGCATTAGGGCTGCCCCAGTGCAGAAGGGTCCCAGTGGAGCCAGTTCTTTCATTTGGAAACCTCACTTTTGGGTCTCTAAAATTAAAGATGGGGCACAGGCGCACGGGCTGGGTGGGCGGGCAGACAGCTGACTTCTGCAGCTCCTGCACCCCTAATGCCGGCTCCACAGGGGAGTGCTGTGACCCCCCGCTTCTGTGCCAATGAGGAAAATCAGAAAAATTAAGTAACTGGTCACCCGGCCAGGGCCAGATGAGTCCCCAGAGTCTCACTGGCCCCAACATGGAGATTCCGCCCCCTACATCTAGTTTGGAACAAGGGAAAGAGCAGATAAGGACCAATGTATGGGTCTGGGCTGAACCTCCACCAGAGTTCACTGGGGGATCCAGCAGTGGGGAGGGAGCTGGGTTGGCGAGTCTGCTTTGGGAGCCCTCGGGAGCCCTACCTAGGCCCCTACCCTGTGAGGAGCAGGAGGTCCTGGAACTCAACCCCGCCTCTGCAGAACAGAGCCAATGAGGAACAAATGCAGTCACCCCGCCCCAGGCTTTCCCCCACCGCATCCCCAGCCACTGTTAGGGTCAAGACGGGCTTTTGTGCTCTAAAAGAAAGAGTCTCTTTTAAAAAAGTTTTCACGGTATGTTTATGCTCGATTTAAAACAAAGGGGAGGGTGGGGAGAAATAACTCTTGTAACCCATTTCCGTCGCCATCTGTTCGCCTTTCTCTTTGACATGAGAACATTCCCCCCTGGTTTGACCGCCCTGTGTCTAATGACAGTAGGCCCCTGGGGTTTCTCTCCCTCCTGTCCCTTCCATCCCCTGCCTCTTCCGGACTTAGTTCTCATTATCAGCAACTCACACACAGCCAGGAACGTTCTAGAGCAATTTTCCACATGATCTCCTCTTGGCAGAAAATAGAATTCGCTTCCTTTCCAAAAGTCATTAAGCCAAAAACTATATAAACATGAAAAGGAGGAGAGAGAAATGGGAAGAGAGAGAGAGAGAAAAAAAATGCTGGGACAGGATGGTCATAAACTATTAAGAGGAACATTTTTTTTTTCCAACTGCCCCATGTCAATGCTTTGAACAAGTGAAACTGGTGACCTCATACGTCAGCAGGCGACTGTGGAGGAAGCGGGTAGCTGGCAGGACACCAGCGTTTCCGTGTCTGCCTGAGAGTCCACAGCTGCTCCATTTGTACAACCCACAGTACAAATAGGTCCGAGGGTGACAATTTTTTTTCTAAGCCCAGGAGAAATCAGAATTTGTGTCAGGAAGGTTTGAACAATTTTGAAAAATACAATTATTTTTAAAATAGCTGCAATCTTGCATTTGGGAAATCTGTACTTTTTGGGGCCTGAAAAATCTCCCTTTCTTTGCGGTCATATTTTAGTCTTTCCTCCAGCGGCCATTTCTAGGGACAGTGGTCACATTTCTCAGACCCAAGTCTGGGGCGAGTCTGAGACTCAGGCTCCCCGCAGCAGGTCTGGCCCCACCGGGCGCAGAGGATGGTAGCCCCAGGAAACTGTCACGATTTCCTACTCACACCCAGCGCTTGGGGACCCTGTTTCATGTGAGATTGTCTTCCCTGTCTCTCGCCCCCACCCACTTGGTCTGACCCCCAGAGCTTTTTTGGAGCAAAACACTTTTCCTGATGGTGGTTTTCTTGCCTGAGCTGCCCCTGAGAGTGGCAGTGCTCTTCCTAAGAGGAATAATCCTTGTGACTAAAACATTTCCCCACTTATCCTTATCAGAGTAGAAGCCCGGGTGTATACATGCAACATTATGGCTGTTTTTAAATTGTTTACTTGGAGTTGTTTTGGGTTTGTTGTTTCTGGAGACAGGGTCTCACTCTGTTGTCCAAGCTGGGGTGCGGTGGTGCAATCTTGGCTCACTGCAGCCTTGACCTCTGGGGCTCAAGTGATCCTCCCATCTCAGCCTCCTGAGTAGCTGGAACTCTAAGGGTACACCCAAAAGAATACAAAAACTGGACCCAGCTAGTTTCATGTATTCTTTGTTTTTTTTTGTTTTTGTTTTTGTTTTTGTTTTTTTGTAGAAACAGGATTTTGCTATGTCACCCAGGCTGGTCTCGAACTCCTGGGCTCAAGTGATCCTCCCATCTCAGCCTCCTGAGTAGCTGGAACTCTAAGGGTGCACCCAAAAGAATACAAAAACTGGACCCAGCTAGCTTAATGTATTCTTTGTTTTTTTTTTTTTTTTTTTTGTAGAAACAGGATTTTGCTATGTCACCCAGGCTGGTCTCGAACTCCTGGGCTCAAGTGATCCTGCTGCCTCGGCCCCCCAAAGTGTTGGGATTACAGGCGTGAGCCATGGTACTCAGCCTATTCTTTCATTGCTTGAATCTTCCTCACCAGAATTCTGATTTTTCCTGGGCTTAGAAAAAACTCTCGTAGGTCTTGGATTTATTTGTCCTGTGGGATTACAAGTCAAGTATTTGCAGACTCGGGCTAAGTCAATGGGAAAAGCATAAAGGCACCCACTGAGTCAGTTGACACACACAGAAAGGTTCCGATGGATTCGTTTGTTTTGGCAAGGTGCACATTCTCTTGCTTCTGAAGGCTGGCCCTGCTCGTTCTGTCCACAGCCACAGGCTGGGGAAGGGGAGCGGACTCAGGCGAAGAGGCCCCCTTCTCCTTTCTCCCCAGCTCCTGTACATGTGTGGGGGCCTCCTGGAGCGGCCCCTGATTCTTGCCAAGGTGGTGCCCAGGTATTCAGTCATGCTGGAGCTGTTTGACGCTGAGCTGGACAACGCCAAGATCTTGTATGATGCCCAGATGGCAGCCTCCAAGGAGGGCAAAATTCCCCTGATCCACAGAAACATGCCTCCCGTGGCCGGGCAGCTCAAGTGGAGCCTGGAGCTGCAGGAGAGGCTGCAGGTGTCCATGAAACACCTGAAGCACATCGAACACCCGTGAGTCACAGGCCTGGCCGGGGGCAGGCAGGGGCGGGCACCCCGCCTCCATGGTGCGGGAGAGCGAGAGGGACTTCCCCAGCCCTGAGCCGGACCACCCTCCTGTCGACTAGACCATTACCTCCCAGAGCAAAAGCCCAGAAGAGACCCTGTCGGGTCCTCCCTCCTTCCCTGAACGCCTTCTCGGTGGGAGTGCTCAGGGGGAAGCTGGCTGGTCCCCATCCTTGCCCACCAGCCTGGTAGACGTGAAGACCACCCAGCAGGAACAGGCAGAGGCTGTGTGTGCTGTCGGCTGAGCCACTGTTGCGTGCACTTGGCCGAGGCTCCCAGACAGCCGGGGCCAGTAGAGGCTTCATGGTGGACGCAGGGACTGCTGCAGGGGAGGCCCGGCTGGAGGTCTTGGCCTGGGGAGGCCGGTGCAGCTGACCGGGCAGGGGGAGGCTTTTATGCAGCCATTTGGGGGGCATATTTGCTTTCATCTGTTTGACCCCAGGTTGGAAGGGAGAATGGAAGTTGGGGAGGGGCTGGCAGTCGGGAGCTGGTTGCTGCATGGGTTCTCCTTCGGCCTCCTGGGCCAGTGGCTGCAGACTGCAGGTCCGAGTTCCGTTTGAACATTTGGTCTGGCCACTGCTTGTTTGCATATTCAGTCTGTGAGCCTTGAGTAAATGGGTGGCTGGCCACTTCGGCACCCCCGATCAGGCAACAGCAATGGGACACATCGAAGAGACCCCACAGGAGATGTCCATGGGGCCTCACCTTCCCACTCTGATTCCAGGGTCATGTCTGGAGCGGAGGCCAAGTTGATTTATCAGAAGTATGACGAGATGATGGAGCTGCTGAGGTCCCACCGCGAGAAGATCTACCAGCAGTGGGTGGCGGGCGTGGACCAGGACTGTCACTTCAACCTGGGGCAGCCGCTAATTCTGCGGGACGCCTCCAACAACCTCATCCACGTCAACTTCAGCAAAGCGGTGGGTGCCAGGAGTGGGCACCCGTCAAAGGCTCCTTGGGAGCTGGGGGCAGGGCCTGCCAAGGTTCCCTCAGCGCGGATTCCTGGAGGTCGATGTTTATATCACAGTTAGCCTAAAGCTTCATTTTTTAAATATGTCCAGGGTATATTTAAGACAGGCAAAGCAGAAGCAGTTTTGACAGTAGTTTCAGTGAGTATCTTCTTGAAAGCGTTCATGTGATCGCAAGAAGAAACATCAGTTTAAAATTGGGAGGAAGAAAAGTATTTGCTGAATCTATACAAACGCGCTGGCTGGGCAAGGCAGGCACGCTGGGGAGAATTCACACTCGTGGGCTTTGGGATGTGGGTTCCGTGGCTAAAACCCAGGAAGTTCAGAAGAACAGAGACGGAACCCAATTCCTACAATCACAGCCCCAGAGCTGCCCAACCTACACACGGCAAGGCAGGGAAACCAGAGATGTGGCTCTTCCTTGGAAATCTTCCCATTCACTAAGATTGATTCTTTCATTCACTGAATACTTACTGAGTACCTACTGTGTGTATGTGCTTGGGATAAATGAGTGAGCCAGAGATTCAGAGATCTGTCTGTCCTGCCCTCCTGGAGCCGACCTCCCGGCAGGAGGGCAGGGAGGATGATCAGTTAGCATTCACGAGGGAGTCAAGCATGTGATACTGTAGAAGGTGCAGTAGGTTCCACAGAAGGAAGAGCAGGAAGGGCAGGTTAAGAAGATCAGTAGAGCTGGTGGAAGGGGCAGGTACAAGTTTAGATGTGAGCAGAGACTTGTGGGAGGTCAGAGTGCCACTGAGCAGAGATGGAAGGGACAGCCTTGCAGCAGAGCACACAGCTAAAGGCCAGGGGGCATGAGAGCCTGGTGAGGTCCAGGCTCTGGAGCAGCAAGGAGGCCAGTGGGGCGGGGGAGTGGGCAAAGGGGAGGTCGTAGGAGAAGAGGTGAGAGTGATGAGGAAGGGCCCCATGGGCCACAGAGGGACTTGGGGCTTGGTTTGAGCAAGATGGCAGCCCCTGCAGGGTTTCAGGCAGAGGAGTGCTGTGATTAGATTTCTACTTGTAAAGGACCCTTCTCCATGCTGTGAGGTATGTAGATTGAAGGGAGCTGGGGCTGGGGGAAATTGTAGGAAAATCAAGAGCCTGTTGCCACAATCCAGGCAAGAGATGACAGCTGGGAGGTGGTGGCTGGAACCAGAGTGGCAGCAGTGAAGGTGGTGGTGAGCTTCTGGACTTGATCATAGTGCCATGGAGACTCCTAGTGGGTTGGAAATGGAGCGCGATTGGAAGAGGGGAGTCAATCCCAGTGTTTTGGGGTCAGGTGAGTAGATGGGTAAAATTGCCATCAGCCAAGAGGGCAGGTGGGGCAGGCCACAGGGGAAGATGGGCTGCTCTGCTTTGGCCTTGTTGGGTGTGAGATGTCACCTGGACATCCAAACAGAGGAGCTGAGTAGGCAGGTGGATACAGAAGTCTGGAAGTCACGAGAGAGGCTGGGGTTGGAGATATAAATGTGGGAGCCACCCACACAGAGATGGTACTTGTAGCCGTGACACTGGATGGCATCACACCTCATTCAGTGGAGATGACAAACAAATGGGCTGGCTGGTCAAGGCAGCTATGATGTTGGATGACATCACACCTCATTCAACTGAGAGTGAATTGAGAAGGACCAAGCTCTATGGCTCCCCATCATGGACATCTTGAGATTATCAAAAAAGACTAATAATGGTGACCAGGAATGTGTGGTGTCCTGGAAGCCAGGAGGACACTGTGTGCCCAGGAGGAAAGAGTGCCAGCTGCTGGGGATCTCATGAGATGAGGCCTGTGATGTGACCAGGGGTTTCAGCAACATGGAGCTTATCTCAACTTTGAGAATAGCTTTGTGGCCAGAAGCACTGTTGGAAGGGATGTCCCTGTTGTTGATCTCTTGGGTCATAACCAGGTGAAAGGAGAGAGAAAAGGGAAGGTTAGATCCTAGGGAGGAGGACACAAGTGAAGACCCGAAGTCTTACTCCAAACCTCCTGGGGATAGTAGGTAGGAGAGGACAGAGATAAGAAAATTAGGACGATGTCAGCCTCCCATGGTGATGATGAGGTCATCCACCCATGAGGATAATGTCACCCACCCATGGTGATGACGATGTCATCCACCTACGAGGATGATGTCATCCACGAGGGTGAGCTCATCCACCCATGAGGATGATGTCAGTGCTTTCTGTCTCAGGATCAGCCAACAGGGTGAAAACCTCCTGGTCCTGCCAGCAACCACTGCCTCTCACCAACTTTGAGATCCCCCAGGCCGTCAAAACATCCCAGGGCAGATGCTCATTTCTTTTGCTTGAACATGGCACTGTTGACATGACCTGCTGACATGTTCTTTGATCTTCATCTGTCATTTAGTTGGTGGCAGTTCTGAGAGAAGTCAAGTATTTGAATTTCCAGCAACAGAAAGATATTCCAGACAGTGCAGAGAGTCTGTTCTCAGAGAACGAAACTTTCCGGAAGTTTGTGGGCAACCTGGAGCTGATCGTTGGCTGGTATAATGAGGTGAGCTGGTGCTCCCGATGCAGCTTGGTTTTCTTCTGGTTTTTTGTCAAGTTTCAGTTTTTGTGTTTCAGAGATGTGGCTCTTCCTGGGAAATCTTCCCATTCACTCAAATTCATTCTTTCATTCACTGCATACTTACTGAATACCTGCTATGTGTATGTGCTTGGGATTAAATGAGTGAGCCAGAGAGTCAGAGATCTCTGTGCTGCCCTCCTCTTCTGTTCCACTTGGAGATCTTACACCAGCATTTGTCGTCACCCAACAACTGCTGATGTAAGATCTCCAAGTGGAACAGAATTAAATGAGTGTGTTTTAATATTCAAACATGGTTCAAGCCAGTCTTCATTATTCATGCAATTAGCAGCAGCAAAGATAGTGGTGACTCAGAACAGCTGGTGATGGATATCTTATTCCCACTGGGCTTTGGTTTATGTTACATGATTTTTTTTTTGTTTTGAGACACTCTCGCGCTGTTACCCAGGCTGGAGTGCAGTGGCGTAATCTCGGCTCACTACAACCTCTGCCTCCCAAGTTCAAGCGATTCTCCTGGCTCAGCCTCCTGAGTAGCTGGGACTACAGGCATGTACCATCACTCCCAGCTATTTTTTTCTATTTAAATAGAAAAAAAGATTTTGAGCTTTAGATTTATGACCAAGGGAAAAGGTCTGAGCCCAGAAATGCTCAGTGATCCACATACATTTCTTTGGCTTAGAATCATAAAAAGATATCAAATATAGAAAGTTTGGGATTATATACCGAGGATTTATGTATTAAAAGTAATGGCAAAGACGGCAGTTACTTTTGAACCAACATATACACGGTTGATTCTCAACTAGCTATGGCATGGGCTAGAAAGAGGAATACTATAACATAAAAACAGTAGCTGTGTACATAAATCCTCAGTGATAAAAGTCATTCTAAAAGTTGGAGTGTACTGAAATATGATTTCCAAACAGAAACATGAATCATCATTGGCTCGGTTAGGGTAGTAGGCTGTTATCATATTGCTATAAAGAAATACTTGATACCTGTAATCCTAGCACTTGGGGAGGCCAAGGCGGGTGGATCACCTGAGGTCAGGAGTTCAAGACCAGCCTGGCCAACACAGTGGAACCCCCGTGTCTACTAAAAATGCAAATATTAGCTGGGTGTGGTGGTGGGTGCCTGTAGTCCCAGCTACTGGGGAGGCTGAGGCAGGAGAATCGCTTGAGCCTGGGAGGCGGAGGTTGCAGTGAGCCAAGATCACGCCACTGTACTCCAGCCTGGGCAACAGAGCAAGACTCCACCTCAAAAAAAAAACCCAAAGCCTGAGACTGGGCAATTTGTGAAGAAAACAGGTTGAATTGGTTCATGGCTCTGCAGGCTGTACAGGAAGCATAGTGGCTTCTGCTTCTGGGGGGGGCCCTCAGGAAACTTGGAATCATGGTGGAAGGTAAAGGGGAAGCAGCCACGTCACCTGCAGGAGGTGGGATAAAGAGGGAAGTGGGGGAGGTGCTATACCTGTTTAAAAACCAGATTGCACGAGAATTCATTCACTGTCCCAAGAACGGCATCGAGGGGATGGTGCTAAACCATTCCTGAGATCATTGTCCCCATGATCCAGTCTTCTCCCACTAGGCCCCACCTCCAACACTGGGGATTATAATTCAACATGAGGCCTGAGTGGCAACACAGATCCAAACCCTATTAGTTGGTGTTGAGGAATAAAAGTCCTTCCCAGAGAACAATTTAAAATCTGGCTGGACTGGGAACAAAACCTGTAACCTCTGTTTTGCAGATAAAAACTACAGTGAAGGCAGTAGAATTTCTACTAATAAAGTCAGAATTGGAAGCAATCGATGTCAAATTACTGAACGCTGAAACGACATTATTCTGGAACGGCGAAGGTACGGAGGCCACATTCCTCCCACCTTGGGTTAAACTTGGGGGTCTAACCTGCCCAGCATCTGTCCTCAAACACCACTGGAGTGGCCACTTCTGCCTCCTGGCTGCATGGATCTGCTTTAACTGCAAGGGGGCTAGAAGATAGTCACCTCCACCTGCTTGCCCAGGCCAAAAATAACAAAACACAAACAAACCAAAAAAAAAAAAAAAAGAAAAAGCCTATCTGTGTCCCTTACAAATGGAATCCAGCAAAGAGTCCCTGGGAACTGCCAAGGGGTTCCAAGGTTCCCAAACTGGGTTTGCTGGAGGCCCGGTTTCTACTGTTGGTTTATCAAGCATGCACAGAGCATGCACAGCTGGTGAGCAGAGCCAGTGCACATCTTGGTTAACTCAGGGCAGACGTCAGGAAAGTAGAAAAAAGTGTAGTCACAAGTCCCCTCCTTCCCTTCGTTCTACCACTGGACGAGGCAGGAGGCCCCTGACCCCCTGGCCCCATCTCTGATGCTCCCAGAGGTGGAAGCTTTTAACATGAGGAGTCTGGGGCTCCTACGTGGGGTGAAGGGTCCACATATTCTCCAAACCCTATGTCTAAAGGGACATTATATTCGTGATTCCTTGGCATTTCATTTCAGAGAACACTCAACGATTTCTTCTGGGAATCACGTTCCGGAATAGGAGGAGTGTTCTCCCAGGGCTATCTCGTAGTGATGAGTGTTAAGCCAACCCAAGAAAAGTTTTCATCCTGCTGAATTGCTCTTTTCTTTTTTTTCTGAGACGGAGTCTCACTCTGTCACCAGGCTGGAGTGCAGTGACACGATCTCGGCTCACTGCAACCTCTGCCTCCCGGGTTCAAGCGATTCTCCTGCCTCAGCCTCCCAAGTAGCTGGGATTACAGACACCTGCCACCACGCCCGGCTAATTTTTTGTATTTTTAGTAAAGACAGCATTTCACCATGCTGGCCAGGCTGGTCTCGAATTCCTGACCTCGTGATTTGCCCGTCTTGGCCTCCCAAAGTGCTGAGATTACAGGCGTGAGCCACCGCGCCCAGCCTGAATCGTTCATTTCGTCAGATTCCTTTACACTTCCATTTTAGGTGTGTTTCAATACATTCAAGAGGTGCGAGAAATTCTGCACAACTTGCAGAACAGGATGCAAAAGGCAAAACAAAATATAGAAGGAATTTCACAGACTATGAAGGTAAGCAAGGGGCAGAGCACAGTGCGGGGCTTTGTGGGGGCCTGGGGCTGCCCTGGGGCAAACCAGCCTGCATAGAGGCCCATGGAAAGTGCTGTGATGTGCGGGGGGCAGTGGGAGCTGCCATGCAGTGCTCTCCACCGGTAGGATGATATCAGAGTGGTCCCAGGGCAGAAAGAGCCCGGTTTCTCAGTGGAATTCAGTTCTCCATTCTGCTCTGAGCTCTGCAAGGCTCCCCCTGTGTGCCAGGCCAGCGCCAGAAGCAAGGGGTGGAAAGAGATCTGCCAAGACTCACCCCAGTGGGAAGAAGCCCATTGCCCAGTACAGAAGCAGTACAGTTCTAACTCAAGTTCCTTCCAGAGCACTGGGTGAATCCTTCATTAGTCTTCTGAGTGGTCTGGTCGGTCACTGATGCTCTACTGTGCAAAAACACTTACAGCAATATATCCAAAAGGAAGTTTTAAGGAACGTCTCCTCTTGTTAATTTGCAGTGTCTACTCTGCAACTCTATTTCTTTTCTTTTTTGTTTTTTCTTTGAGACAGAGTTTCACTCTGTTGCAGCTGGAGTGCAGTGGCATGATCTTGGCTCACTGCAACTCTGCCTCTTGGGTTCTAGTGACTCTTAGTGTCTCAGCTTCCCCAGTAGCTAGGACTACAAGTGTGTGCCACCACGCTCAGCTAATTTTTTGTATTTTTAGTAGAGATGCGGTTCCACCATGTAGCCCAGGCTGATCTTGAACTCCTGAGCTCAGGCAATTTGTCTGCCTTGGCCTCCCAAAGTGCTAAGATTACAGGTGTGAGCTTCTGCACCTGGTTAACCCTATTTCATTTTTAAATGATCATGTTTAAGCTATATTTCTCTATCAACATATCAAAATTACATCATCATGATGCCCCACCCACCCTGCTCCGTTTAACCAGGCGCTACAACTGGACTTCAGATTACATAGCATTCCACCACTTCCCTCCCCAACCTCTCCACAAACCCTTGAGTAGAGATCATTTAGAATTCCTGAGAAAAACAAGCAATTGGAAAAGAAAATGGTTCAAACTCAGTCCATCAGACCTGGAATAAATCCTGTTTGGAGTTTGTACATTGTCAGGCTGTGCCCTTAGCACTCAGGTGAACAGCAAAGGGGTGAGGACCAAAAGGCGGTTGTTCAAAGATTATGCAGCACTTGAGAGGAGGAAGTCATTTGGTGTCTCAGAAAAACACAGACCTATTGAAGCTATTCAGTTAGTAAACCTAATATTTTTCTTCTTAAATTAAAAAGGTTATGACATCTATGAAATAACAACAGAATGAGAACTAAGAACAGAATGAGAGGAAAGCAGAGAAGTGAACGGACATGGCTAAGAAAATCAAAACTGCAAAAGAAGAATTAAAATATACTGAAGCACCAGTTAGACTAGAACTGGTGCTGTGTGACAGTAGATATATTAAATAGAGGACAATTTTAGGAAATTGCTAATATGCAAAGGGAAATAACAATAGATAATGTGTAAGATGGAGAGGAATAACATAAAAATCATAGTTGTGACTAAAGAAATAATAGGCTGGGCATGGTGGCTCACACCTGTAATCCCAGCACTGTGGGAGGCCGAGGTGGGCGGATCACTTGAGGTCAGGAGTTCTAGACCAACCTGGCCAACATGGTGAAACCCTGTCTCTACTAAAAATACAAAAAGGAGCCAGGTGTGGTGGTGTGCACCTATGATCCCAGCTACTAGAGAGGTTGAGGCAGGAGAATTGCTTGAACCTGGGAGGCGGAGGTTGCGGTGAGCTGAGGTCATACCACTGTACTCCAGCCTGGGCAACAGAGCGAGACTCTGTCTCAAAAAAAAAAAAAAAAAGGTAGACATATTCTGACCAGAATTTTAAATCTCAAGGATACAGAACAATCTTCTGTATGTTTCTACCAAGCAGGTAGCCTTTTGACTTTACATAGATTTCTAGAACATGACGAAAATAGCCAGTCTTGAGAAAGGCTCCTGACAATTATCTGTGAATGCAATAGTAAAGTCATCCTCACACGTGCAGGGGCTTGGAAAAATACCATTTAGGTACCCTTCCTGAGAAACCTATTCCAGAATGTATTCCAGGACACCAATAGATCAACCATATTCTAGAGTACCAAGGAGAGAATTAACATTTAAATAAGACTAGCCAATGAGCTTGGAACCAATTAAATATAAAGAGAGAAGTATATAAAGAGAGAAGTATATAAAGAGATAAATATGGTTGTGAAAGGTTACATTCCAAAGTCAAAAACAATACTTGTAGAAAAATATAAATGGTAGAAACCATATCCATGGTGATAAATGTGATCAATAATTGGAAGTTAGGAGGACGAAAAAAGGTAGGACAGGGAAGTTAACCATATCCTATAATTCCTAAACATGGGTAATGGGAATCAAAAGCAATTTTTCCTTTTTTTTTTTTTTTGAGATGCAGTCTTGCTCCGTCACCTGGGCTGGAGTGCAATGGCACAATCTCGGCTCACTGCAACCTCTGCCTCCCGGGTTCAAGCGATTCTCCTGCCTCAGCCTCCCGAGTAGCTGGGATTACAGGCATGCGCCACCACACCTGGCTAATTTTTGTATTTTTAGTAGAGATGGGGCTTCACCATGTTGGTGAGGCAGGTCTCAAATTCCTGGCCTCAGATGATCCATCCGCCTTGGTCTGCCAAAGTGCTGAGATTACAGGCGTGAGTCACCACTCCCAGCTGCAATTTTTATTTCCAAAATTAGAGAAATATTTAAAAGATAGCTTTAATAAACTTAATGGCAAGTACTAGTGGAATTATAAATAGGATTTCTCCTATCCAAATCACTAAAGAATATAAAAGCAAATAAGCTATAGTTTTTAAAGCAAAATACCACAACAAAGGGAAACAGAAAGCAGAAAGGATAAGACATGATAACAAAAGGCAAACATTAGTTATAGTATATATAAATTATTTAAAAGCAAAATGTTTAGATTCGATTGTTTAAAAATGTAATTATATGCTACTTCCAAGAGATACCTAAAGCAAAATGGAAAGGTTGAAGACAAAATGATTGACAAGTAGGTGAAACCATATGAAACTTCCAATAATTGACCATTTTTGACCTTTAAAAGATGGCAGTTCTCACAGCTGAGCACAATGGCTTATCCCTCCAGTCCAAGCACAATGGCTCATGCCTGTACTCCAAGCACTTTGGGAAGCCGAAGCAGGAGGATTGCTTGAACCCAGGGCCTTCCTATGTTGCTTAGGCTGGGCAACGCCTGTGGTCCCAGCTGTTCTGGAGGCTGAGGTGGGAGGATCACTTGAGCCTGGGAGGTTGAGGCTGTATGAGCTGACATTGTGCCACTGCCCTCCAGCCTGAGTGACAGAGCAAGACCTTGTTTCTAAGAAAGAAAAAAACAATTTCAAATGACAGTCTTATTCACAGACATATATAGATCCTTGCATACATACATACACATATACAACAAAATATTAATCAGCGAAGAGCAACTCGGGGCAAAAATACATAGTTAGCTAAACATATATGATCAAGTAAAATTTATATAAAAGTTATAGTTGTCCTAAAATATTGTGTTCCCAATGAGAGTATGGTTAATATATCTAGGCCGGGCGTGGTGGCTCAAGCCTGTAATCCCAGCACTTTGGGAGGCCGAGATGGGCGGATCACGAGGTCAGGAGATCGAGACCATCCTGGCTAACCCGGTGAAACCCTGTCCCTAACTAAAAATACAAACAAACTAGCCGGCAGTGGCGGGCGCCTGTAGTCCCAGCTACTCGGGAGGCTTGAGGCAGGAGAATGGCGTGAACCCGGAGGTGGAGCTTGCAGTGAGCTGAGATCCGGCCATTGCACTCCAGCCTGGGCAACAGACCGAGACTCCGTCTCAAAAAATATATATATATATATATATGTGTGTGTGTGTGTGTGTGGTATGTGTGTGTGTGTGTGTGTGTATGTTGTCGTATATATATATATATATATATATATATAAAGGCAAAATGTATTAGAAGAACTGAAAAATGGGCAGAATGCAAATGTAATGGGAAGCCTAACACAGCGTTATTATACTGCCATGGACTGCACGTTTGTGACTCCCAAACATTCCTCTGTGGAAGCCCTAATCCCACTGTGGTGGGTCTTGGAGACATGGCCCTGGGGAAGCAGTTAGAACATGAGAATAGAGACATCATGAAGGCGATTGTGCCCTTATAGCAACAGGCACGAGAGAACTCACTCTGCCCCTCCGCCATGTGAGGACACAGCAAGAAGGCAGCCGTCGCCGTCTGCACACCAGGAAGAGAGCCCTCAGCTGGAACCAAACATGCCAGTACCTTGATCTCAGACTTCTAACCTCCAAACCTGAGAGAAATGTCTGTTACTTAAGCCCCCTAGGATATGGTATTTTGGTTATAGTAATCCAAGCCGACTAAAACATACACAAAACATGTTTTTTCTGACCATGAAGCAATAAAACTGCTAATGAAAAAAAGGAAATCCTTCTAACAAGGTAAACACAGAGGCTTAATCATATCATTTATGTTCACACAAAAGCGTCAGTAGAAAAACTAAAAGTAGTCACATAAATAGCAAATACTGGACAGAGGAGGGAGGTGGGTAATCTAGTCTTCATTGTTCGGAGTCACAGAAACAGTTGAGAAATGGCTGAATCGATGTAGAGTCTGTAAATGATCAGAGTAACAGAGGCAGCCGTGAGAAGAAGGAAAGCTGAGGTTCCCTCATGTTTCCAGCTGGGAGATGGGATGGAGGATAGGGAGACACGGGTCAAAGACCTTTTTTTTTTTTTTGGTCAAAAACCTTTGTTATTAGGTGTTTTGTTACCATATATGTATCACTGTAATGCAGATGTATAGGGAAAACAAAATCTAATGACAGATAACAGTAAAGTCCACATATTTAATTTTAGGTGGCCACCACCTTTTTTTTTTTTTTTTTTTGAGACAGATCTCTGTCAACCCAGGCTGAGTGCAGTGGCGTGATCTTGGCTCACTGCAAGCTCTGCCTCCCAGACTCACGCCTTCTCCCTGCCTCAGCCTCCCAAGTAGCTGGGACTTACAGGCGCCCGCACCACGCCCTGGCTAATTTTTGTATTTTTAGTAGGAGACGGGGTTTCACCATGGTAGCCAGGATGGTCTCGATCTCCTGACCTCTGTGGATCCTCCTGCCTCGGCTCCCAAAGTGCTGGGATTCCAGGCGGTGAGCCACTGCGCCCGGCCAAGTGGCCACCACCCTTGTGGTAGAACTCCTACTTGCAGGGGAGCCAGGGTCCTGAACCTACTCTCTACCCTTTCCCACCCCTGTCGGCAGGTCAGTGGCCCCCACAAAAGGGACTTCTCCCACCTGCGCCTCCATTTGCGCTATGACGATCCACCCAGCATTGACCACCCTTTCCTTGACCCTCAGGTCCTTCATCCCCGAAAAGAGAATTAGATGGCTCCTTTCCTGAGAGCGCCCCATTCTGCCCAGTTGAGTGAACATCTGCAATGCGTCTCTCTCTGGTTCCCCCTAGGCCCTGGTTTTGGTTTTGAGCTCAATTATTACTAAGGCTCTCTGCGTCATACAGTCAAGTGGAGGCACAGGTCTTTAGTGGCCCCTAATGGGCGTGTTATCATGGAGAAATTAGACTCCATCCAAGATTTAGGTAGCAGTGAGGAAACACACCAAAGCCAATGCAGCAAAAGAGTGCAACTGGGCGCGGGCCGGTTGGCTCAGTCCTGTATAATCAAGCACTACTGGGAGGGCCCGATGACGGTGGATCACGGAGGTCAGGAGATCAAAACCATCCTGGCTAATATGGTGAAACCCGTGCTCTACTAAAAAATACAAAAAACTAGCCGACGAGGCTGGCGGGCGCCTGTGTCCCAGCTACTCGGGAGGTCTGTAGGCAGAGAGAGAATGGCGTAAACCTCTCCGGGAGCGCGAGCTTGCAGTGAGCTGGTCCGTTGCCACATGCACTCCAACCCGGTGACCAGAGCCAGACTCCGCTCTCAAAAGAAAAAAAAAAAAAAGAGTGCAACTGAAAGCGGTTTCTCCAGAACAGTTTTTCTCCTGTGCTTTCCTTCCAGGACTGGTCGGCCAACCTGCTGTTTGAAAGAAAGGACAATAAGAAAGAGGCCCTGTTAGACTTGGATGGAAGAATTGCCAACCTCAGCAAGCGTTACACAGCAGTCAGGGATGCTGGCGTGAAGATCCAAGCCATGGTTGCAGTAAGGAAACACCCAGGAGGTTTTTTGAGAACCCACTTGCTTTTAGCAGGGAGGAGAGAGTAAAGGCAGAGCTGGAGATTTCATAAAAATGATTAGTGACACATTTTTAGTGGTCACTGAAGTCCGTGATCTGGCTGGATGCAGTGGCTCTCACCTGTAATCCCAGCACTTCAGGAGGCCGGACCACACTTTCCTTGACCCTCAGGTCCTTCCATCCCCCGAAAAAGAGAATTAGATGCTCCTTTCCTGAGAGCGACCCCATTCTGGCCCAGTTGAGTGAAACATCTCAATGGTCTCTCTCTGGTTCCCCTAGGCCCTGGTTTTGGTTTTGAGCTCAATTATTTAAGGCTCTCTGGTCAACAGTCAATGAGGCACAGGTCCTTAGTGGCCCCTAATGGGCGTGGATCATGGAGAAATAGACTCCAATCCAAGATTAGGTAGCAGTGAGGAAACACACCAAAAGCAATGCAGCAAAAGAGTGCAACTGGGCCGGGCG